TGTCAGCACATTTTTATGGCAAGGAAAAATAAATCCGTTTCAGTATTCGTTTCCTGTGACGATGGAAATGATAGGGAATGTCTGGTCACTTTCGTTAAGAGACAACACGACATAAGGTGACGCGGCACGAATTTCTTGATGGCTTTGTGGATCGTGAGGGTGTCCCGGTGGCTAGCCCCCCCCCCCCCAGCCCGGGTGGCTAGCCTAAGACCCCCCCCCCTCATTGCCCGGGTGGCTAGCCTAAGACCCCCCCCGGGTGGCTAGCCTAAGACCCCCCCCCCCCATTGCCCGGGTGGCTAGCCTAAGACCCCCCCCCCTCATTGCCCGGTCTAGCCTAAACCCCTCCCCCCTCATTGCCCGGTGGCTAGCCTAAGACCCCCCCCCCTCAATGCCCGGGTGGCTTGCCTAAGACCCTCCCCCCATTGCCCGGGTGGCTAGCCTAAGACCCCCCCCCTCATTGCCGGGTGGCTGCCTAACCCCCCCCTCATTGCCCGGGTGGCTAGCCTAAGACCCCCCCCCTCATTGCCCGGGTGGCTAGCCTAAGACCCCCCCCCCCTCATTGCCCGGTGGCTAGCCTAAGACCCCCCCCCTCATTGCCCGGGTGGCTAGCCTAAGACCCCCCCCCCTCATTGCCCGGGTGGCTAGCCTAAGACCCCCCCCTCATTGCCCGGTGGCTGCCTAAGACCCTGCCCGGTGGCTAGCCTAAGACCCCCCCCCTCATTGCCCGGTGGCTGGACCCTCCCCCCTCATTGCCCGGTGGCTAGCCTAAGACACCCCCCTCATTGCCGGGTGGCTAGCCTAAGACCCCCCCCCTCATTGCCCGGGTGGCTAGCCTAAGACCCCCCCCCTCATTGATCATTGCCCGGGGGCTAGCCTAAGACCCCCCCCCCTCATTGCCCGGTGGCTAGCCTAAACCCCCCCCCCTTCATTGCCCGGGGCTACACAGTCCTTCGAAGCTATTGAGGTTTTCTCATCCACTGTGTGTATTGAATTTCCACTGTAGTAATGTTTCTTATGAATCTTCGAAAATATGTAACAAAGTATGCTTTAATTTTGTTGTTTCTTAATATATTTGACGCCTGATAAAAAAATCTGGAACTTTGTAAACATTCTTATTGTTATGGCACCATTATCTGATGTTTTCCTGTCTCAAGAGCCATCCCTTGCAACATTAATGATTTCGGCCTTCCCTGCACCCGAGTGGCGGATATGGCCCGGAGGAATGGAGAAGGCTAGATCAGTAGCAACCCGAGGAGGTGTCATGGCTTCTCTTCTGATTGCTCAATGAAGATATAACCCTTAAAATCATTATTTCCCATCCTTTTTGAAAACTGAAGAGACCAAAATGATCGACCATATTCACAGAGCATCCGGGACTTTGGTGACGTCATCAAAACAAACCCCTTGTGCTGTATCCAAAAATAGAATCAGACGCCATGACACCTAAGACCCCCCCCTCATTGCCCGGGGGGTCTTAGGTGTGCCCTGGCGCAGCGTAAGTGCTAGTCTACAATCTTGCGGACCTGCGTTCAATCCCGCGCCCGGCCAGTGAGTATAAACACAGGGGATTTGGGCAAAATAAAACAGACCATATGTCACAGCAAAGAATATCCATTGTAACAAATGGAATTAGAACTAAATCTTAAATCTTAAAAAATCCTCGAGTTGCTACCGGAGGGATGGCCGGAGGGTCCCAGGCCTCGGACCGGCGAGGGACTCCGATAACTTTGATAGTGATAATAATAATAATAATGATAACAGTGGTAATGATTATGATGATGATAATGGTTATAATAAGAGAAATAACTATGATGATGGCAATGAGACGAAAAAATATATATATATAAAAATAAAATAGACAAAAAAAAGACTATGCAATTTGATAAAGGAAGGAAATTAAAATTGTTGTGACCCAAGTGTGGGCGAGCTCTATGGAAACTGTATTTATTAATGTTATTTATTGAATTTTGGTGTCCAAATGAGGGGAATATCAAAACAACATAGTTATATATCATTTTTGTTTTATTCATGAACATTTCCTAACACTGATGATGAGAAAAAGAAATCTTGAGGCGTAAGACAGTACCTTTAGGCCAAGAGAGAATGACTGACGTAAAATCACATTGAAGGATGAATGAAAGAGAAAGAAAGAGAGAGCTGGACAGGCAGATGGAGGAGAGACAGAAACAAAGACGTAACAATCTGCACAGGTTGGGTCTTCGATCCTTTTTATACTAAAGGCAGGTTTATTTTTATCTTATTTTATACTTTTTTTCTATACTAAAGGCAGGTTTATTTTTATCTTATTTTATACTATTTTTTATACTAAAGGCAGGTATATTTTTACCTTATTTTATACTATTTTTTTATACTAAAGGCAGGTTTATTTTTCATTTATTTATACTAATTTTTTTTTTAATTTTATAAAGGCAGGTTTGTTTATTTTATTTTATACTAATTTTATTTTTTTATTTCATACTAAAGGCAGGTTTTTTTATTTTATTTTATACTAATTTTTTTTTTTATTTTATACTAAAGGCAGGTTTATTTGTTTTATTTTAAACTAATTTTATTGTTTTATTTTATACTAAAGGCAGGTTTATTTTTATTTTATTTTATACAAATTTTATTTATTTTTTTTTTATACTAAAGGCAGGTTTATTTCTATTTTATTTTATACTGATTTCTTTTTTTATATATACTAAAGGCAGGGTTATTTTAATTGTATTTTATTCTATTTTTTTTTTTTTTATACTAAAGGCAGGTTTATTTATCTTATTTTATACCAATTTTATTTTTTTTATTCTATACTAAAGGCAGGTTTATTTATTTTATTTTATCCTAATATTATCTTTTTTAATTGCAGTCACTGAACATGTTGTAAAGGAATATTTGCATCGTGAATCTGCATCTAATATTCAAGGAGAGCTGTGAAGAGTCATGGAGAAACGCCAAACCATCTCTGGAAAGTCATAGAGAAAAATCCTGGAATTTTTATACCAAAATGGTGCACGAATTCTGTGATGGGAATGTTAGCGCGGCAAAATTTTAGGTTTTATGAGGAAATTTGGCGAATTTAGCCGAAAATTTTAGTTTTAACAGAAATGCAGGCATTACTTCGAAGTATTGTAAAAAAAAAAAAAAAATCCACACAGGATAGAGGAAATATATCGCTTTATCAATCAAATTACTACCACAGGTGAGCACAACACCAGACCTCAACTTATAGATCGGTGAAGACGCCGGAGTGTAAAAGGTCAGCCGATCCATCAGCCTTCCTCTGTTTCCGCTGCCCCACAGAACTCCTTGCTGACCTGCTCGCCGTCGCTCACGTCTTTTGTCTGCCTGCTCTACTCGCGCCAAGATCCCCCCGACCTTGCCTTGCCCGAGGTCGAGCGTGGCTTGCCCTGTGCCTGAGGCTGTCGTCAAATCCCAGGCAAAGGATCTCTGACGAATGAAATGCGAATGAAAAAGAATGGCAGGCAAAGAGAACAATGTAAAGTGAGAAAAAAAAAAAAAAAAAAAAAAAAAGATGCATGGATACAACAGAAGATGACGAGATAGAAGGAAAATGTAGAAAGAGAAATGGAGATATTACTCTGAGAAATGAGAGAGATGTAGGACGAGTGATGTGCAAAGATACAGAGTTACATGTAGAAATACGAGAGAGATAAAGAGAAAGTTGTATGTGGAAACAGAGCAAAAAGGGAGATGCGTATATACAGTGAGAAATGTTGAGATGCAGTGAGAAGTGCCTAAATACAGTGAAGTATGCAAAGATGTGAAGTCAGAGAGATGCTGAGACCAATTTTCATTTCCATAATCAGGATTTTTCTCTTCTTAAAATTCTCAATTCTGAAAACAATTAAACACATTCTAATAATTTCATATTTCAACTCACAGAGGCAACATCTGCGCGATTTATATACAGAGTGCAGTACTTGCAGCCTAAAAGAGGCAAGGTACTAGATGAGCCACTTGTGGATGGCGTAGGAAGGTGACCGCCTCTCTTTTGCTGATGATTTGAGTCTCGAAACGTCTGCATAAAAGGGGTTTATAAAGATGTCATTAGAAGAAGCAGTGATGTCATCAAACCAATGCGTTGGACTCTCACACTCTCTCACTCCGCAGTTCGTGCGTGCAAAATGTTTGCATATGTGTAGTACGGTTTTTTAATATCATTAAGAGCTTTTATCAATTTATTTAAGATATAAAATGTATACTTTTAACTTTAGCAGGTAATATTTATTTGTACATTTTATCCTTTATTTAATAACAAGCTCGTCATGTTCTCATATGATATGAACTCTTTACTTGTTTAGTTTCCCCTTAATAATTGGTTTTCTTTGTTAACGTTTGGAGAAAAGGAGTATGCGAACTTGTTTGAACGAGAACTCTGCTATTTGAGCTTTTATGATAACAGGATGCCAATGGGCACGTCTTGACTTGTATTTTGTAAATTATTAGGATAACTATAGGATTTTGAATGTGAAGAAAAATGAGAGCATGATTCTTGCCTCGTAAGCTTAGTTACTTGACAAACGATGGGAAATGTGTAATGTACAGATGAAAAAAAGAAGGCCTTATAAATACCATCACAAGAATAACCAAAGTAAAATGTACTTAAAAGCGAAACATCAAAACGAAAAGCTCGTGTGGGTTCATGCTTACTTAACACCTGAGCAGGTCCTCTACTGCTCGAACTCTCCGGTAATTTTGAACGCAACTTGAACGCCTTCCGTGATCTAAATGAACGCAAGGCCGTGTTGTTGGGTCCGTCGCATGTAAACAAGACCGAGGCGGAGGACGAAGGAGGAGAATATATAACTCTCCACTCTCTGTTTGACTTCTTCTTTTCTTTTCCGGTGGGTGGTGCCTTTTAGGGTATGGTGAGAGGGCAAAGGAGAGCAGAGTGAATGGGGAAGTCACGGGATAATAGAGAGAGAAAAGAAACGGTGACTCGAGTGAGAGTGACAGGATGACCTAACCCAAGGTTGTAA